ACCCCCCACCTCCCACCCCTTTGACTAGAGTCCAGTGTTTGGAATCTGCTATCAGACACAGGTGGGAAGGCTGGGCCTCCTGGGACTGCCCCTTCTCTTCACCCCCTTTTAGGTGACTACCTACCTGTCTGCCTCCCTGCCTTGGATTCTGCTATTATTTGTTTTGAAATGAATGCCTCTAGCCCTCCTGACTGCACCATGAGGCAAGGCCTAGCAGAAATGTACCTCAGCCAGCCAGACCCCTGGGAGGGAGGCTGGTGGGGCTTTTGTGCAGCGCTGCAGGATGTGGGGCGTGCCGGGCTGCACCCTTGCGCCCTTCCCACAGCGCAATTCCCTGCGCTTGCACGCTAACCCAGCCTCTGAGCTGACTCACCCATTGTTTAGGATGGATGAAAGGACGTGCGGTCATGGCCTTCCCAGCTCCAGGCCTGGAAAGCACAACGGGTCAGTAGCCAGGGGACCTGAGCCCCGACCAGTGCTACTGCTCCTGCATCTGTTCCCTCAGCCAGTGTTTGCTGAGCCAGGCAGGACAGCCACATGGGACCAACCATCCATGGTTTATAAGCTAACTAGAGGGCTTCTAGAAGGTGGGAGACTGCTTCTCTGAGAATGAACTGGGCTGTGTCTCACCTGGCAGGTGGGGGAGCACAAAGGCCCTGAGGCAAGAAAGAGCTTGGCGGGTACTTGAGAGACAGAGGCAGGACTCTGAGGGGCAGGCTGCAGCCAGGTCACAGGAGCCTCGCCCCAGGTTCTATGGAAGCCCTCCGGGCCTTCAGCAGGGAAGGAACACGGTGCGTCTGCGTCATCCCCGTGCCTGTGTGCTGGCTGCATGGGATGAGCTGCCGGCAGCAGAGGGAAACCAAGGGGAGGCTTGCAGCCCCACACAGGCCATGCAAAAGGTCCTGGAGTGGCAGTGACAGATGCAAGGAGCAGACCTGTTTGAGATGTATTTGGGCAGTGGAATGGGCAGGTCTTTAATCAAATGAATGTGGAGACGAGTGAAATGAGAGTATCCACTCGTGTTGTGAGTTGAGCAGTTAGGTAGATGGTAGTGCAACTTACTGAGATGGGAAAGCCTTTGAGAGGAGCAGGTTTGGGAGGGAAAAATAAAGATTACAGTTTTGCATATTGTGTTTGAGATGCCAAATAAATAATTCAGTATCAAGAATCTTAGGGTGGGCCAGCAGGTGGCATGGAGATTAAAGTGGCTGAATCCCACCTGGCTGGCTGCCTGGTTTGAGTCCTGGATCTAGTGGCCTGAAAATCACTCCAGGCACATGTTCCTGTGTGCCCAGTATCCCAAGAGGAGAGTAGGAGAGAAAGGACTGTGGCATGGCCATCCCCTCTGGGGGTGATTTCATACTTTTCCTTTATCTCTCTCAGTCTCTCTCTAGTGAGTTCACATGCCCTATAGCAAATTAAATTTAAAAGGAATCCTAGGGGGATAAAAGAACCCAGTGGGGACTGCAAGTCAGGAGTTTACTGGAGAGATTGGGACATCTAGCCTATAAAACTTACAATTCTAGGGGCCAGCAGGTGGAGTAGTGGTTAAAGTGCTGGACTCCCATGTGGTCGACCACAGTTCAAGTCCTGAACCTGATGGCTTGCTTTCTTACTTTCTCTTTCTCCCTTCTCTGACTCTCTCTGATCAAGGTGAAAAATAATAATAATAGCAAATAAAATAAATCTTTTAAAAGAAAAAAATCTTAAAATTCTGAACCAGAGAGAGGGGAAAGCCAGGAAGAGGTCAGGAGAGAGATGAGAAGCCATCTAAGGATCCTGGGAAAATCAGTGTTTGTGGAAAACACCAGGACAGCCAGGGCCATGGAAACCAGGGAAGAAAGTGGGCAAGAAAATGGAGGGGGTGATATTGGATGTTGTCGAAGGGTGTAGAAACAGAGCAGTGACCTTCAGGTGGGACCTCATGAAAGATGATGATGACCTTGCCATGCATGCATTTATTTATTTACCTATTTTCAGTTTAAGTATATTTTTCCACGAAAAAGGCATCCCCTCTGGGGTCCCCACACCATGATCCACCCTCAGTCCAGCCACCCAGCATGCTTAGGAAGGGCCTGGGATACTAACCCAGGACCTTTTTCATGTGGGGCTAGCTGTGCCCTTACTGGACCACCGCCTGGCCTGTGCATTTATTTAGGAGTGATGGAGAAGCATGCCCGATTGAAGTGGAAGGAAGAGTGAGGGGGAAAAGGAAGCAGAGCCAGTGAGTGTAGACTTGTGAGGGAGCTTGTGCTGGTAGAGAAAGAACTACTGGGGAGGTTGGGGTCAGAAGTTTGTATTAAGGTGGGGACCCAGGAGCGTGTCTGTGGGTGAGCTGCCAAACCATGCCAATTGCTTCACCTCTCAAAGACTCTGTTTCTTCTTTTCCACGTCTCTCAGTTCCTTTGACACCTCTGGTTCTGCTTGACCACAGTCCTTTCCTGCGGGCCAACAGCTCTATAATTAATACTAGTCGATGAAAGGTGTTCCCAACTTGTGAGCAAGTTAGACTGCATGCTGGGAAGTCAGTTCACATGTGAGGAGGGCCTTATCCATAGCTCCCATGGATCTGTGGTCTACCCATTTTCTGATAGCCACGGTCTTCTCCTTTGAATGTGGGAGAAAGAGTGCAGGATTTAAACCTTGATGCCGAAAGACTTTTTAGGGCACTTGTTTTTCTGTGTGTTAGTATTCAGAAATTATGTTTGTCAAAATTTAGACTAACTGTGAAATGACTGCACTTGAAATGTATTGCACAACATTGTGAAAATATTAAGTCCCAGAAGGAGAATGAAGGAGAGGGGATTGCAGTGTGGCCATCGTCCTTGGGGAGTGATTATTCTTTCCCTCTCTATGTCTCTCTCTGTTTCTCTGTCTCTGTCTCTCTCTCTGGCAAGCACAAAAATCCTATGGCAAAAACCTAAAAAAAATTTAAATAAAAAGTTATATTAGCAATAGAGAGATAAAGCCTAGCCCCTTGGTTCTGAACAGTCTTTCTTTCTTCACTAACAGGTTTTAATAAGGTGGCTTTTTAAAATTTCTCTTCTGTTTATTCTTTATGTAATTTTTAAATTCAATTTTTAATGTGTAATCAGTAGTCTTACATCTGTATAAGCTGTGATTGGGTTCATCTACGGATAACAGAAAATATAAAATAATGGTAGCTTAGACTAAATAGAATTTTATTTTCCTCCAAAAATAAAATTTAAAGATGGGCAATCTAGAGCTTATAGTATCAGAAATCCCTATTCCTTATCTCATATTATTCTCCCAACCACAGCCATGGCTTTTTTCATGTAGGTCAATGTAACTTTAAGTAACGATATCATATTCCCATGTTAGCCAACAGGATGAAAGGCAAAGGTGGTCATGCCTTCCCCTTTAAGATCATAGCGAAAACTTTGGGCCTAAATCTCATTGGTTGGGAACTAATCACGTGGCCATCTTACTGCAAGAGAGAATAGGAAGTATTATCTCTATTCTGGGCATATGCCCAGCTGGAAATCATGGTTTCTATAACAAAGGAAGCATCAATGAATGGGCCCAGCTAGCAATATATGTCCCAACAGTTGTTTGTTTGTTTGTTTGTTTTATTTAATGATTTCTTATTTACATTAAATTGTTTTACATCTTTGTGGGACACAGCATGAATTTTCAAAGCATGCATGCAAT